AAAACAAGAGATGGATGGAAACCAGGCCTCTCACCCAAAAACAACGCTTAGGCAGGAGAAAGAATTTTGAACCTTAATTTCACTGTAAATAAGGCTTGCAGTTGATGTCCAGTCTCTAGAATCCTTTAGGAATGGCTTTTTAGCTTTTCTACAACAAATCTACTGAACAGAGTTCTTGACTGCCTGTTTTCCAGTCCAGCTTACCAGGAGAAAGCTAACACTATAGCTGAGCTAACAGGTCTTTGGTCTTAATCCACTGGGGGTTTTAACCAAATTTGTTTAAGACTGGATTCATTGTTCTTTCTCTGATGTCCAAGGATTAATCATCTCAGCCAAACCAAGTGACCATGATTGGCTGTGTTTTGCTAATCCTTTCAAAAATTTGGATTCATATTTTTATTTGAAAGAAAAGTTCTTTAGAGATCTAGATGAAGTATAAATGAGAAGCTATTTTCAACAAGCTGGGTTGTTATAGACACCAACAATATTACCAAAGCTAGAATATGTTGTGATGGCTTTGAAACCTTTGAAGTTAGGCTAGCATTTTATATATGCCTAATTAATGGAAAGCGTATGACCATATTTAGGGCTTGTTTGCATGGTTATCGTGGGATAAGAAAGAAATAACTCCAGTTTCTGATCTTATTTATATGCCCAAAAGTAATCTAATCTGTTATTTTTTCCAACTGAAGGGCACACTAAAAGAAAAAAAAAATATGAAGTGGCTTTCTCAGATTTGAGCTTCAATAATTTATGCCTAGCTTCATGTTCTTGGTTTTCTGTAGAAACAATACCGTGATTCACCTATAAAGGCAGGCCTAGATTTTTAAAAACCACCATTCTGTTGAACAAACTGTACTAACCTAGTCTGCATATATTGCAGTAATATCATTGGGGGAAGTCACAGATCATGCTAAACCAAAAACAAAACAAAGCAAAAAAAAAGTTGGTTTATCATATAAGTTTGTGGCTATGTGTGAATTATACCAGTGATGCATTAATAATCCAAGGTAGACAACTATATTCCCTTGAAATCTATTGTGAGTTAAGTACTTACATCAGCCTATGATATGTTACAAAGCACTCTGTGTACTGATAGCAGTATGATCTTTTTTGTTTATTTACAATTAAATCTGGTACATTGTCACAATCATAGGATCATCATATGACATGACAATTTGGCCACTGGATTTCACTCAGACATACATTCTTGCTTTATTCCTCTTTATTTCCAGGGGTCTCTTTCAATAGTGTTTATACCCAAATTTGGAGAGTCCTCTTACACTTGGCTGCTGATCCATACCCTGATGTTTCAGACCTGGCCATGAAAGTGCTGAACAGCATTGCTTACAAGGTAATTTTTTCTGTGTTATTGGGTGAACAATAAACAGATGAACTTTCTTCGTTTGGACAGCATGTTGGGATACTTTTATCAGATAGTGAGTTTGTCACATAATCTGTGATAGGAGATTCTCAATAAATTTGTTCAGTTAGCTATTCCTTTACATTTGTAATCTGCCTTAAACATAGGGTCATGGACTAAATTATTGTACTTTAATTGGAAAAAAAAGTTTTATTCTCTTCAAAAAGTTAGCAGTCTATATTGGCTAGAGGGCACCTGGGGAGAAAGGAGAAGAATTGAATTTTAAAATTATACATTATCTTATTACAATGTTTAAAATGTGTTTTGATTTTACATCCTCCTTCTATCTCTTGGGGCTGTTCCCTTCCCCCAAACACACAGCATATCCTAGACCACCCTACTGATCTCATAGGCCTTGAGGACCATTGAACAATTTTGTTGGGAAGTATGCACTGGATGGGGGGGGGTCTATAGTCCTGTAGGAAACTAGTTTCCAAGCCATATATTTATACTTTCCATAGGCACCTTATTTTTGTGGAAACCAAATTTTTAGCTAAGTAGATAACCTCGCTCCCTCTTTCCATAAGAAAGATTCATAGAAGCTATATAGGCACTTAGATAGCAATGCTGTATGATTATCAGATGTTTGAACAGCTCAAGTTCAGGTGGCCTTGAAACTGGCAGACTGATACAGAACAGATGTGTAACCACAAAATCTGAGATTTGGCAAATAGCAGTGGAATAAGCTACTTTGTGGCCAGGTATTTCAGCAGCCTCTAATTATTCAGTTGCTACTCACTTCCTGTGTCTCTTTTTCTCTGCGCTTTTACATCATTGTGTTGGATAGATAAATTGTGAAGTTTTACATTTGGCATACTTATTCAGAGAGTCTTTTAACCTGCTGATAATTGATGTTTTTTGCCAGCATAAGAATTTCTGGACCTTATCCTAGAATGCACTATGCATTTTCCTAGCTTTACAAAGAAGATAACAGAAAATGGCTTTACTTTTGGTGCAGTATAGTTTAGCTGAATGGGGAAAGCAGTGGAAAACTAAGCATTGATGAATATCTGAACGTTATTCTATATTTAAAAAGTATTTGAAAAATTATGTCCCATGAATTTATATTGAAGAAATATGGAATGGAAGTCACAGTTGCCCTATGATAGCTGTTAGCACTACTGAGCAAACAAGACATCAATCTATGTTTTAGCAAAGTTTTTTTCAAGAAAGGGTTTATTCAGTTATTCACCCTAAGTGGATTTCAGAAGCATGAGTGGGTTGTGTTTCTAAAATGTAAAAAATGGTGAAACACTCATGAGATTTCAGAGCTGTGTTATAAGATTTCAGGCATGAGATCATCGATGTTTTATAAGATTTGGTGTTTCTTCTCAGTTTTTCTTCATTTTTTTAAATTGGCAGCAGACCATCACATAAAATATCTGAACATTATTTGAAAAGATTGCCAACTTCTGCTTAGGTATTATCAGAGTGTTTCTCTGAACTATCGTTGTATGCATAACTGAAGTGCTAAATTCACAGTGAGTTTAACATTTAAACCCAGGTTTGTAAATGGTTGCCTGCTTAACCTTTTTTTAGAGAGCTTCCAAAACAACTACACAGAAAAGGACAAGTATAAGCCAATGAAAACAGAAGATTAGGCCACGTATTTGCAATAAATAATTTAAATCTTAGGGTTTTTCATTATAGTAATTCTAATGACTAGTAGCTATTGAGGACCCAGATGTAGTTGAACTAAAATTTGCTATTGAATTACTTTCATTCCATATAGAAGGCATCCAGTCCAACAATTACTTTCATGGGATGGCAAAATTATTATGAATAATATGTTAGCATCCAAAGTGATCTGGTAAATATTACAGTGCATTTCTATAACTGTATAATTCACTGAGTTCTCGAAAACTTCTGAAGTACAGTACAAATCAGGATATAATACTCCATAGTTTTGACAAGTGTTATAGTTTTGGCAAGGCCAGGCGGCATAGTAACAATGAGAAATGTTCATCGCCAGATCAAGTTGATCATGTAAGTTTGCTCTACCTTTGTTTCTATAAGATAGTGTAATAAAGCATACTGAAAAATTAACATCTGGGTATATGTTGCCCAAATGAAGCAGGATTATCTCAATTCAACATATCATCCTTTAATGAAGCCCAAACTGAAATATAACAAGACCTGATTGCCCATATACAGTGAGACAGGTTTCCTAAAGTTAATTTCAGGAACAAGCTATAAACTAGAGTTAGATGTATACATTTTTCTCCTGTTGATACCACCAAATAAATTTGATGGTTGATACCACCAAAATCACCAAGAGATTTTGATTAGCAAAGTTGTGTACCTTTGACATCTAAGTAAGTGATAAAGATGCTATCAAGATTAATTGGGTTTTGGAAGAGTGATATATTTCTTTAGAAACCAGTGTAACACTTCAATATTTTGCTAATTCAGACACTATATAGGACTGAATGTTTTCACATATATCACAGCTAATGTACTATGGCTAGAATCAAATACAGATATAGGGTATTGTTTAATCTTAGCTCTATTCTTTTTACCCAGTATGAGTTGGGTTTAGATCCAGAAATCCCTCTGTGTAACACAAAGGGTACTGTGAAGTTTTCTGTGACTGTAGTCCTCTCAAAAGCCACACTAAAGCACATCCTAACTCTATGAAGCAAGCATGGAAGGGATGAGGAGATGGGAGGAATATTTAATCTACCTGGCATTAACAGAAATGCTTTCTATGCCCATGTGGCAATCTTTAATTCAAGCCATTTGTTGATGTATGTAAACAATTTTGCTTTCAATTTTTTTTAAAGGACAGTTTCTCCTTTGTATTTTGTGTTGCAATCAAAATAAAGGAACATAAGCTTTAAAGCACAGTAATTACAAGTAATGAAGCAATCTTCCAAATGGTTTCAGCTAGTTTCAATAGAAGCAGACATTAACGCCAGGAAAGCAATCAAGCATAAAACAATACCCTAATCAAGGAACTACCAAGGAGAAAACCAGACTCCCTCCCAAACTGGCAGGGCAAGCTACTGTATATAAACAGGGAGCAAACCCCACACTCACTGGCACTGATGATGTTACCTAGTTGGGTAATGAAATGTCTGCAAGGAAACAAGTTTAAGTTTGGCAGTACATCCTTTATTACATCAAATTTGATACATGAACAAGTCCTCAATTTCCATTATTCATTATCTTTCATTCCTGGAAAGATAACATATGAATACTAGGAGAATAAACTATTAGTATGAATACTAAGAGAATAAACAATTTTTCAGCCACGCTAATTTAGACCATATTCCTCAAAGAAGCAATTGGCTGATAAGGTAAGCTTTCTGTATACCATAGCTACAGGAACTCATATTTTTACAGCATTGTTTTGTAAGAAGCATATTATGTTTATATCTTTCTCCTATAATGGAAATGAATCTCTTATTTGTGTAGCAGTGGTTTATCCTATAAGAGACACCTTCCCCCGTAACTATCAGTCGGCTTTATAAATGGGACTTTTTTCCACGTCTCCAAAAATGCATGACCCATGATGGTTCTTCTTTGGTCACTTCCTAGGTTCTCCTTCCATGTCTTTTTTTTCTTTTAGAAGTAAAAATGTATGTTCTTACATTGCAATTCTGGGTAAAGAATTTTCACATCCTCTATCATATCCTCTCAAGGTTCTAAAACTTGAGTAGTGTTCTAGTGCATTTTTTCTGTATTGTTTTATAAATATACATAAATGTTTATTAAGAATTTTGATTATAGTAGTAAAATCTAATACAAACTAAAAGATAGAAAAAAATAGGAGTAAAAAGTGCAAGGAAAAAGAAAAATGAGAAAAGAGAAAGAGAAGAAAGAAAAGTAAGAATATAATAAAGAAAGAGAAAAGAAATATATAAAGAAGTGACTTCCAACCTTCATCAC